GGCGTTCCCTGCACGGTTCACCTCCCCAGTCCCTCGGTTTCTTCTGGTTCCACACGTTGTTTTTTCGGCTACCCTCACGGGACACCTTTAGTTATAATAAATTTGCTTTCTTTATTCCCTCCTACCCTGGTGTGTGTGTTCTGCTTCTGGGTCCAGCTTGCGCACGGAACTTCGGTTCATGACAGCAGCCTTCCAACGCCTCTCTCTGTCTCTCACTAGCAAAGTTGACCCAGACAACAAAGTAAAGCTAGTTTTCAGCTACGAGCCGACACGAACCCGACGTATCAGCCAGAGGTCCCCTTACTACAGTTCGGAGCCGCGGACCTGGTTTATATACGCGCCGAATAGTTTTCTATATGAGATCACTGCAAAAAGTGCAGCCTTACCTAATGTCCACCTACTGTTACTCATTTATATTAAGATTTAAACATCTGGTTGGTGTTGGTGTGGAGAGTAACCTTCAGTAATAGTAATAAATCACACAGCAATCGTTCATTCATGGAGTTGTAAAAAGCATGATAATATAATAGGTAATCCAAAGTATTCAGAATACATATGTAATTTGTAATCTGTAGTGGAATACATTTTAAAGGTAACCTTCCCAACACTGCATATTAATGATCATAAACTGACTCCCAGCCCATTGTTCTTTCAGTGGGCTGGTTTCAGTCATTATGCAAATGTACTGTATATAAGGTTGGTTAAACCTGCAGTCAGCTGAGACTGAAGAAGTCATTTGGATGATTGACGCAGCGTTTCTCCCACTGAAAACGTCCAGATGAACAGAATCAACCTTTGGGATTTACTTAGCTGGATGACTTAGCACGCATCCTTGTGCTACCACTGTGTTGTCACAAGTGACAGATACTATGACATGATCAGCTGATGTCACATGTTCGCATGTTTACCGCTGAGTTTTTCACCAATGTATTGAGAGAAATTTAGCAGAAATGTGACTAGTTTTTAATGATGCAGAATAAATACATGCTTACACTTTTTCAGACCAGGTTTCAGCCTTTGCGCTCCACTATGCTCCAGGCTGAAGGAAGAAATAAAGCCAGAATGAGCCTTCAGAAGCTTCCTCATTATCGAGGATCTTGTTGCGAGAGAGCATGTGAGTTCAACAGTAGAGTCCATACCTGAGACTGTCCAGTCTCCACTGTGGATCCTTTAGTCCAGCAGTCAGTAGCTTTACCCCTAGGTCTCCTGGATGGTTGTAGCTCAGGTCCAGCTCTCTCAAGCGTGAGGGGTTGGATTTCAGAGCTGAGGCCAAACAGATACAGCCTTCCTCTGAGATCTGACAGCCTGACAGCCTTGACACAACCGCAAATAAAGAATGACATATTATTGAAGTTATATATATTGCTTTTCTCGCAATCGTTCATCTACTGCGCGTCGTAGCCGATTCAAAAGAACGAGGCAAAACACTTTGCCGGGTACCGACAGCAACGTGATGCCCTGCCAGTTGTTACAGTCACCCAAATCACCTTTCTTTGAAAGTTTGATGATGACGCCTTTTGTCCAATCATCGGGTACATATGATGTTGACCAGCAGGCGTTTAGGAGTCTTGTAAGGGCGGCTTCCAACTGGGGTCCGCCATGCTTTGGATGAGTGACAGACCATAAAAATTATTTTCAAATTACTCTGTATGTGGTCTGACCAAAATAGAAATCAGTTTAATAATCATCAAACTTCCAAAGAAAGGTGATTTGGGTGACTGTAACAACTGGCAGGGCATCGCGTTGCTGTCGGTACCCGGGAAAGTGTTTTGCCTCGTTCTTTTGAATCAGCTACGATGCGCAGTAAACGAACGATTGCGAGAAGAGCAGGCTGGCTGTCGGAGTGGCCGATCATGCGTCGAGCAAATCTTCACCCTCCGCACGATCATTGAACAAACATTGGAATACCAAAGGAAGATTTCTATTAATTTCATTGACTTCGAGAAGGCTTTTGACAGCGTCCACCAGCCGACTCTATGGTAAATGGCCTGTATTTATATAGCGCTTTTCTAGTCCCTAAGGAAAAAGTGCTTTACACAACCAGTCATCCACCCATTCACACACACATTCACACACTGGTGATGGCAGCTACATTGTAGCCACAGCCACCCTGGGGCGCACTGACAGAGGCGAGGCTGCCGGACACTGGCGCCACCGGGCCCTCTGACCACCACCAGTAGGCAACGGGTGAAGTGTCTTGCCCAAGGACACAACGGCCGAGACTGTCCAAGCCAGGGCTCAAACCGGCAACCTTCTGATTACAAGGCGAACTCCCAACTCTTGAGCCACGATCGCTATGGGCTATCCTACACCAGTATGGAGTCCCTCAGCAGTTTGTAGATGCCTTTCATTGTCTTTACTCCAACTCCCGTTGGTGCGTCCGGATTTTAAACTATCATTCATACGCATTCATACTCCAATAGATGCATCTGAGAGCAAGTTGGGGTTAGTATCTTGCCCAAGGATACTTGGCATACAAACTAGGGGAGCCAGGGATCAAACCATCAACCTTCCAATGAGCAGATGACCTGCTCTACCTCCTGAGCTACAGCCACCCCCTGTCTTGTGTGCTCTTGTGTGCAGCAACATCTGCTTTCTGTGCGAGATGGTCATCACAATGGAGGGAGGCGGGAATGTTTGAATTTGGTACCTCCTTTTCCAACTGTCCACAATCACTTGCTGCCGCGGGCAGACTGAAAGCCGCTGCCTGGGCTACGCCAGACAGCAATAGAAGCAGCCTCAGTGCTGATCTCTCCATCCAAACAATGCAGAGAGTCAACTGCTTTTATCATACATTCGGTATATAATAGTTTGGACAGAAATCGTGATGTGAAGAAACAGTCTTTGCCGACAAGACGGCAAAGACTTCGACAGACGTTAAAACTTTACCTGAGAATTTTCAGTGCACAGCGTGGACTTTCCAATCCAGACGATAGCAGCATCACTCCTAAATCCTTCAGGTCATTGTTACTCAGGTCCAGCTCTGTCAGACTGGAGACCTGTGAGCTTAGTACCGAAGACAGAGCTTCACAGGTTCTTTCTGACAAATTGCAGCTGCTCAGCCTTGAAATGAGTTAACGAAACATTTGTAACATTTTGGGGTATAAAAAAAGACCTCCAAAGAGGTTTTACTTTTTCAGATACAAGAATGGTTGATTGCAGGATCAAACAGTTTAATAACACCACTTTAAATTTCCACAGGAATTTTAGATTCCATTATCTAAAGTTAATAATCTGACCAAAATATTTAAAACTGTCTATAAACAAAGCTGCAAACCAGTAGTTAATTTTGCTGGTGGTTTAATGTGTTGATTTGTTTTCACAATTATCAAATCACTGGTTTTGTTTAGTTTAGTGTTTAGTGAACAATCGTGGTGTTTTAAGACATTTTCTAATTCTTGTTATCTATGTACTTACAGAGCTGTTTTTGAGGCTTTGACCACTAGCAAAAGCCTCAGAAGAGCCTCCTCTGAAGCAGAGTACTTCTTCAGGTCAAAAACATGCAGATCTTCTTCTGATGACAGTAAGATGAAGACCAAAGCTGACCACTGAGCTGGAGAAAGTTCATATGTGGAGAGGCTTCCTGAACTTAAATACTGTTGGATCTCCTCTATTAGAGAACGATCATTTAGTTCATTCAGACAGTGGAGAAGATTAATGTTTCTCTCTGGAGACAGATTCTCACTGAGCTTCTCCTTGATGTATTGGATTGTTTTCTGGTTGGTTTTTGACCGACAGTCTGTTTTTTTCAGTAGGCTCTGTAGTTTATCCTGATTGGTCTGCAGTGAAAGACCCAAGAGGAAGCGAAGGAACAAGTCCAGGTGTCCGTTTGAACTCTGTAAGGCCCTGTCAATCGAAATCCTGTGGATCTTCTTTGAAGATATTTTACTGAAAAGCAGTCGAAGAATGCGCAGAGACAGCGGTGGTGAAAGCATCACATTTTTGTTGCTATTTATAAGCGACATCCTCACATAAAGAGCAGCCAGAAACTCCTGAACGCTCAGATGGACGAAGCTGAACATCTTGTCTTTCCCTTTCCTTCCTCGATCTTCTTTGAAGATCTCTGTGAACACTCCTGAGCACACCGAGGCTTCACTGAAATCAATGCCGCTCTGTCTCAGATCCTTCTCATAAAAGATCAGGTTGCCCTTTTCCAGCTGCTCAAAGGCCAGTTTTGCTAATGACTTAACGTATTGAATGCTCTTCTCTGGGCCATACTTTTCTTTTGTCCGATCAATCTGAAACACCAGGAACTCTGCGTACATCTCAGTCAGAGTCTTGGGCAGCTCTCCTCCCTCTCTGGTTTTCAACACATCCTCCAGAACTGTTGCAGTGATCCAGCAGAAGACTGGGATGTGGCACATGATGTGGAGGCTTCCTGATGTCACGATATGGGAGATGAGTTTGTCAGCCTCCTCCTTACCTTTGAATCTCTTCCTGAAGTACTCCTCTTTCTGTGGGTCAGTGAACCCCCTGACCTCTGTTGTACTGCTGATAAACTCTCGAGGGATCTGATTGGCCGCTGCAGGCCGTGTGGTTACCCAGATGCGAGCAGAGCGTAGCAGTTTCCCATTGATGAGTTTCCTCAGCAGGACATCTGTTTTAGCTGCCGTTGTTACATCGACAGAGCGAATGTCTTCAGAATGAAGGTCGAGATGAAGGCGGCTCTCATCCAGCCCATCAAACACAAACAGAAGTTTGAATTTACTCTTGTCATAGTTGGTGATTCCTGATGACTGAACATCTGTAAAGATGTAATTAAGAGCCTCCTGTGGGATGCCTACAGTTTCTGGGATG